AAAGGCGTCATTTATTTCCAAACCTCCTCAGACAGGCAACACTATTCAAGAAACCTACTCAGACAGGCAACACTATTCAAGAAACCGACTCAGACAGGCAACACTATTCAAGAAACCGACTCAGACAGGCAACACTATTCAAGAAACCGACTCAGACAGGCAACACTATTCAAGAAACCGACTCAGACAGGCAACACTATTCAAGAAACCTACTCAGACAGGCAACACTATTCAAGAAACCTACTCAGACAGGCAACACTATTCAAGAAACCGACTCAGAAAGGCAACACTATTCAAGAAACCGACTCAGACAGGCAACACTATTCAAGACACCGACTCAGACAGGCAACACTATTCAAGAAACCGACTCAGAAAGGCAACACTATTCAAGAAACCGACTCAGACAGGCAACACTATTCAAGAAACCGACTCAGACAGGCAACACTATTCAAGAAACCGACTCAGAAAGGCAATACCTATTTAGAAACCTGCTCAGAGAGGCAGCCGTTATCTGGAAACTTGATACCGTCTATCATATGAAAAATGTAGACATCATGTGACACCAGAAACCCATTAAAATAAACACTTTTTTATTATAAAAAAGAAGCAACACGTATTTTAAAATGTTTTCATTATATATGCAACACTGTCTGAAGACTAATATGCAATCATTAATTAATAAACTACAGATAAATATCACAGGCCAGACATTTTTGTTCACTTTTTACTAAGATCTGACACCTGAGGCGCAGATTTAAAAAAAAAAAAAAGTCCTTTTTCGTCATGTTTTTGTTTAATGTCATTTTATATTTGTTTATATTTATGTTCTAGGGGTCATGCTTTAGAACAAATGCATGAATATGCGCATAAGAAACTTATGTAGTGACTGCTCAGGAAATATTCTGTAGTCACTATCTTAATTTTACCCTCCTTTCCGGACCGGTAATGGGTTCCACAAATCCCCAACCCTCTTACCATACCGGTATTTACCCAGGTATTTCCTAAATCTAAACTTATCTAATTTACATACATTGTTTCGCGTTCTATTATGTTTTTATATATTTAACGACTTATTAATATCTCCTTTAATAATATCTCCCTTGTTAAGAAGGGGAAAATTATTTCTAGCAATACTTTAGAGGTGACAGTGATATAATTTATTGTCTATATGTAATAGGTTTGTTAAATGCAATGGGTTTGGACACATACTGTGCTCAAAAATGAGTGCCATATTTTTTAAGTTAATTCTAAGAGGAGTCTAGAGTGTGTCTTACTCAATATTGGAAATTCATATGGTTCAGTTCCCAGTGGTCATTCTGTGCATCTCAAGAGAAGAATATGCACACATCAGTAAAGTTCTCGAGTTACTCAAACATGATGACCATAACTGGATCATCTGAGGATCTTAAAATGGTTACCTTTTTACTTGGTCAACAAGGAGGATACACGATATATCCATGTTTTTCATTCCTGTAGGATTGCACAGATAAGGGCAAGCAATGGACTCAGAAGACCACTCAGGTTAGAACATGGCTAATTGTCAAAACCCAACCACAGGTAGATGAGGTAAAAAATCCTCTTTCCTCCTCTCTACATCGAGCTTGGACTAATGAAGCAGCATGTTAAAGCTCTGAGCACAGAAGGTGAATGTTTTGTGTACTGGTGTACAACATTTTCTTGCCTCGGTTATGAACAAAAAATAAATGCTGGCGTGTTTGATGGGTCACGTATAAGAAAACTTATGAGAGATCAACATTGCACATGTTTAATGAATGATACGGAGAAAAGAGCAGAGAATTCTTTCGTGGCTGGTGTAAAAAATTGCTTGGGAAACAAAAGTTGCTAAGTTGAAACAAATACAAAGATCTTATTCTAACAATGTTTAAGAATTGTCATCGTCTAGGCAGGAATATGAGCATAAAGTTCACATTCTCAAGAGTTATATTGATAAATTTCCTGAAAATCTAAGTAACTTAAGTGATGGACAAGATGAAAGGATCCAACAAGAAATGGAGGAGTGATGCCAAGGAAGGCTGGAAGCTCTCATGACTACTGATGCAGTATTAAAAGAGACTCTTTGGAAATTAAACATTTCAGAAAAGCCTTCAAACTTAAATTTAATCCACGAAGGAAGAATGTGTCATTTGTATTCACATTTTGACGTATTATTTTGTAATAATATGTCATGATTCTTATTGCTGACATCAGTAATAAGAATCCTTAAATTCTTAATATTAGTTTAATCATTTACTAATGCAAACTTTTTCTTGTGTTTTTTCACTTGTTTCTTATTTTCATTTTCCCACTTTCTTCTTATTCATCTTCTGCTCCTTCACCTATGCATATACTTCCCTGTTTCGCTTCTCTTTCATGTCCTGCACCTTTTTCTGCTGTTTCTCTTCCTCCTGCTGCTTCTTGCGTTTCTTCTCTGCTTATTCCTCTGCTACTTTCTCTCTTACCTTTGTTTATGCTTCTTTTCCCTGCTTTTATTCCTCCTCTTGTTTAGTCTTTTTCTTTGGAGCCTAATAGTGTTACTTAATTTCATTCTTCTTTTCTTGCTTTTCCTCATTCGTTTCCTGCCTTTCTTCTCATGATTTATATTATTCTCCTGCTTCTCCGTCCTTTCTTGTGTGTATCTATTCCTCTATTTGCATGTCGCCTCCCTCTTCCTCCTCCGTCATCATCACTCACGTCTCTTGTGCCTTTCTTATGTTCACTCTTGCTGCTGCTTTGTGTGATCCTCAGATCCTGTTTGCCCCCTTGTTATTCCTTGATATTTAATCTTTATTACCTGTCCTCTCCCCCTCTCTAATTTTTCCACTTCCTCTTTCTTACCATTCTCTCTCTCTCTCTCTCTCTCTCTATCTCTCTCTCTCTCTCTCTCTCTCTCTCTCTCTCTCTCTCTCTTTCAAGAACAATGAGTATAGAACTCGGGAACTATCAAGGAAAAGTCTTAAGTCCTACACTATTCAACATACTTTTGAACGTTATTGCAAATATTTGAGTTTCCGGAAGGAACACAGCAAGTGGAATGTACAGATGATGTCCTAATACAAGCCCCAACCTTGGCGAAAATAAAACAGTCCAATGAGCTCCATGGAAGGAAGTGTGTTGAACTCGGTTTCACTCTCCACAAATAAAAGGTTGACCACTATCGGTACCTCGGCGTCACTGTCGGCTCTAACAACGTTTAAAAAAAAGAAGCTTTACTTTATTTGTCAGTAAATAGATAAGCAGTGATGGATTGTAAATGTATGATAGACTAGGGATAGATAACCGAGGGATGCAAGACTAAAAAGTGAGGATTGTGTTTGACGCGTTCTAGACACATGATTGTGTGGTAATGTTAGCTAAGCGTGCGTGGTATACGGACGGGGAGAGAAGCTCAGTGTAACTCATTCAGGACATTGGTGACCAGTTGTCAATTAATCTCCTTCAGTGTCATGTGGACACTTGTATGAGACTGTCTCAGCTCAGGGGCGGTCATTGTAGCATTTGAATTATTTTTAACTAATTTAAAAAAAAACGTAAAAATCCGTGAATCACACGTACGAGAATACGTAATTTAAATAACATAAAATAAACCCAGTTAGCTTAAGTGGAACGTGTGTACAACAGATCAATTCAAAGTCAAATGCATAAGCGAACATAATAAATTATTGATTATTTATTAAATGGTCATCAACGAACAGGTTGATAATGAATTATTAGAAGAACATCTGCGAACAGAGTAGTAATGAGTTCTTAGAAGAATGTCCATGAATAAATTTTGAATGAATTATAAAAAGAACGCCCACGTATCGATTGCTAATATGAGTTATCAGAAGAAAGTCGAGTAAGGAAGAGCAGAGACGCAACACACACACCCAAACTCTCACAGCTTCACACACAACGTTATCAACACAAAGGAGGTAATGTACGAGGCGAACACAACTAATAAACCTGAACCCATCATCGATAATCTCAAACAACCGGGCGAGAGGAAATTTTCGGAATGAGCGCCCGCGTTAATATCAAGTATCAACAGAGATGATCTATTATCCGCCTCAAACCCATCATGTCTCTTTGAAATACTCTACACATTTAAGAGCAACAGCCAGCAATAAACCAGGCGAAAACACAAGGGGTGTAATCTCTTTGATCACGCAAGGACTTCAAATCTCCCAGTTCGGGACAGCTGAAAATTAAAAGCACCCGAGAAATGGAACAGTGCTCCTATTATTGAGGAGTGTGCGGCGGAGTTAGGACTGTGGGAAGGGAGAGGAAGGAGAAGAGCAGAAGAGGGAAGAGAACAGGAGAAGGGAAGGATAAAAACAGAATGGAGAGGGTAGGGAATGAAGCAAACATTCTGCCGTAGATACGAGGTTTTCCTGTGGTTTTGAAGATGGTGTGTTCTAGTGTTCTCATATACAAGTTAGCAGAGAGGACTCCTAGTGGGGACCCCCGTGGCTGCTCCGTCTGTCTGCGTACACCTGTCTCCCAGAGGGGTTATTAATGGGGTCATCTTGGTGCAGATCTTTACATGTTTACGGAGGGCAGACTCTGGGATGTCTAGCTTGGGAGTAGTGCAAAGATCACTAGGATATATCTTTGCTAACTTCTATATGGGAACACTAGAAGAAACCATCTCTCAAGCCAAATATATCTGTATCCATCTATTGACTTATCCACCTACCTCTCCATCAATCTATCCATTTATCTAGTCATCTATTCATCCATCTATCTACTTACGTACTCATCTGTCCATCAATTTATCTATCAGTTTATCCATCTATCTACTCTCTGCATCTCCTCGTCTTTCTCTGTCTGTCTCTGTCTCTATGTCTTTTTATCTGTGAGTGTCTGTCTGTCTCTCTCTCTTTCTTTAAAAATCTGATTCTGTAATGTGTGGGTGGTGGCCAGTGAGAGGACCTTAGTGATATGAAAAAAATAAAATACTTACCCCTTTACTCTGATAAAGGGACGCGTTTTCTGAAATCCAGGTTGTCCAGAGTCCTTACGTGTGTAATGTTTGTGATGGAAGCTTCACCTGCATGAGCCACCGCTTCACGTCTTTGGGAAATGCTGAACCCCAAGCTGTTCCAGCATGCTGTTCCAGCAT